GGACAAAGTATTTGATCTATTTGGTCTAGGTTGGGTTCAATCCTATGACAGTGGAATGTTTGTTGATCTTGAGCTTTCATGGGGAAGGTGTCCAAAAGGTGGCAAAACCCTTCTGGCAAGGGCACTCGTCACAGGATTATGGATTGTATGGCTTGAATGGAATTGTAGGATCTTTTATGATTGCTTCTCCTTGTTTTAGGAGCTATGGATTATCTTAATGTTTTGGGCGGCATTATGGACCAAAGCTTATGGAACTGTTTCGATTTAGCTACTCCAAACTTAACCGGAAGTGGAAAGCAATTATTTTGTCCCCATAGGCTATTTTGTTTTCACGTTAATTTTTGCTTCAATTGTGTTATTTTTTCTTTATTTTTCATTTTGAGGAGGATGCCTTATTCTTTATAACTACATTCTTTTCATTATTTTCTTAATAATACTTCTTTTTCTATTAAGAAAAAGAGAGATTAGTTTCTTTTTGCTCTTATCACCTTGAATGCCTTGTTAAACCCAAATTGTTTTAGCCACTTGCTATCATGCAGTTCAAATGAAGGAACTCCAAGGCAGTGCACTGGAGTTGAAAGAAGAAAGGATACTAGAAAAGGTTGTGTATGCAAGCGTGTGTATATGAGAGAAAGGAGGAAGCAGATCTTAGTGGTGGGTGGTTAGAGAGAAAGAGAGAGAGCAGATATCAGTGCTGGATGGTTAGAGATAGAGCAGACCTTTGGTTTTGTGCAAGCTGGTGATGAAGAGCATCGGAAATGATGATGTGTTGGTGATGTGAGACTAAACGCATGGATAAAAGAGAGAGAGGGAAGGAGAGAGCATACTTAATGGTGGTTGGCTAGAGATGGAGTATGCATTTGGTTTTTTGCAAATTGATGAGGAAGAATGGAGACATGATGCTTTGTTGGTGACACAGGATAGAAGCATGGATAAATTATTTTGATCTCATTAAAGTTTGCGAGGATGTTTTGACTACGTCTAGATGCATAAGCTAAATTGGTTAAAGATGAAGAAGACGTTTGGTTTGTCCAAATTGATGATGAAGAATGGAGGAGATGATGATGCATTAGTGACAAAGGAGGGACGTGTGGAGAGAGGGACAAAGGGAGGAAGGGATTATTTTAGTATTGGGTGGTTAGAGATAAAGGAGGCATTCGGTGTTGATAACACTAGATGAAAGTGTGGATAAGATAGAGAGGGAGGGTGGGAGCATACTTCAACAGTGGATAGTTAGAGATGGAGTAGGAATTTTATTGTTTGCTAGATCAGGGATGGATTAAGAGAGAGAGGTGGTAACTTCAGCCTGACTCATGGGTAAGAGAGAGAGGTGGGTGGGAGCAAATCTTAATGGTGGGTAGTTAGAGATAGAGGACATTTTCGTTGTGAGTAATTAAAGATGGAGTAGGCATTTGATTTTGTGCAAACTGATGAAGAATGTAGAAGATTATGACGTGTTGGCGACACAACACATAAGCCAAAGAACGAATGGAGGGAAAATGCAAATCAAAATTAGTGTTGGGTGGTTAAAGATGGAGAATATATTTGAAGTTGTCCAAACTAATAATGAATAATGGCGGAGATCATCATGCATTGGTGAAGTATGATCAAAAGAAAAAGTTTACATTCTCGTATGGTTCTTAGGGTAACTATCACTCTATACATAGTTCTAAAGGCTAATGTGAAAACAATCAATTATTAGTAGAGGATGATTGCACATTCAACATAGTCAACCGGGGCAGACAAAATGTGTT